AAATCCAACACTAAAAAATTCACCATTATGGTGGAGCTTCTCGGCACTATACCCGCGGTAACTGGTAAAGTGATAGAGCTCAGGGGGTACACATTCTCTCCTTAAAACCCAATGAGAGGCGTCCTGATAGGTTGAAATCTCTCCCTGCCAAGATGAAGGTTATCATATGCCTCTGCGATTAGGATATCGACAGAGCTGCCACTCTCCACAAGGACCCTCCTTACTTGGTAGTTGGCGACCATCATCGTTAGTACCAATGAGTCGTCATGGGGTGCTGGATCCCCTCCAAGTCTCTGTCTGATAAGGAGATGACCTAATCGTCTCCCTGTCTATGAGACTTCAATGGTTATAGTCATCCGTGTGTCGTGCCTTTTTGGCATGTGTCTTCCTAACTGAGTTAGATTCATCTCCTCCTCCTAATCCTCCTAAGATTATCTGGATTTCTCCTTAGGGTTGTTGATGCTCTCTCTCATCCTAGTTCTGGCCTATTGATGGGCCTAGCCTATGCCTGCCACGTATTGCCACAACTGGCCAAGCTGCATAAGGTCCTCAATCTACCTCTTAAGTTCAAAGCAATCGTTAGTGTCGTGGCCATGATCATAGTGAAAGCGATAATATTTGTTCGAGTTTCTACGATTTTGAGTAGACTTTATTTTTTTCGGCCAGTGTACTGCAAAGGTCGTTTTGCATTTGCAGAAAAATATGTTCAACTGAAGTATTGAGCATGCATGAAGGCCTACCGCTCCTCTGAGGTGCAGGGCCAAGGCAGTCCTTAGCTAACACTTTCTTTGTCCTTCTCCTCTTATTCTTCGTTTCTCTCCTATCTTCATAGGGCCTCTTCATGGAAGAACTCACCTTATCTAGCCTTGGTGACGTCCTCAACATTCATATATTTATGACCTTTGACAATAATTTCAGCATACTCATTGGTGGTTCTTCAAGACCAACAACATAAAATTAGATGAACGTCGGCCAATGATAAAGGCAACTATGGTGACTTTGTCATCTAGCTCTTCGATTTGGAGGGCCTACTCGTTAAAACGAGTGAGGTAGCTCCATAGACTTTCTTTCCGATCTTGCTTGATGTTAAGCAAGTGGGTAATAGGCTTCTGATGTGGGCGTACCTCTATGAAGTGGGAGACGAAGGATTTGTTTAGTTCAACAAAAGAATTAATGGAAGCTAAATTGAGTTTGGCGAACCACTGACAAGTAAATCCCTTGAGGGTGGTAGGAAAGATTCTTCACATTATTGTCTGGTATGTTATACAGCTGTATGAGAGATTTATAAAGTGTCAAAGTGGTCTAGTGGATCTTTTAAGCTGTCAAATGCTTCCACAGTTGGCATATTGAACTTTGAGGGAGAGGGTAATTGGTCATATCAGCCACAAATGGAGTGTTAGTGTGCCTTACAAGGAAGTTGACAGTTTTCGGCGCTCGTGCCTTGAAGGCGTTGAAGACGTCGCCTAATTGATTCTGCACTTCCTTAATTTTTTTGCCTCATTGGTTAGGGATGCCCTTTGAAAGATCGTTGTAATGGCTTTTGTGGTCCATATACAGGTTTTCCCTCTCATCTTCTTGCATAGGAGGGTCACCAACGCTGGAGGACAAAGCCAGCACATGAAAAGGGGGAGCCAAGGTGCCTGGGCGCTGAAAAAGGATGCCTTGGCGTTGCAAGGGGGCACTCTGGGAAGATTGTCTAGGGTGTTTCTCCTTCTGGGGGTTGGGGCACGACTCCTTGAGGGTGTTTGGAAAGCATCAACTAGAAGGTCTATTATTTGTGATTCACCAACAGCTGCATTGTCTCTGGTAGTTGTTGTCTTGCTATAGGATTTGTCATAATGATGTGGTGGATCATTTTGTTCTGTTTGTTGATTCATGGACCTGGTTGTAATAACTATAAAATGAAAAGAAAGTAGGAAGAATGGAAAGATAGTAGAAAACTTAGTCGCTTCTCACAGACGATGTCAAACTAGTGATGCACAAAACGTGTTTATACACCACTTGTCAAGTATTAAATGCAGTAATAAATGATTAAAGTCAATAAAAACAAAACACAGTTTAAGTGGTTCGGTAACGGTGACATACTCCACGATGAAGAGGTGTAGAATGCTCTGATATGATTGAGACATGAGAGATGTCCCCCTTGTGTAGGTGAAACTTATAATTTATAGGTGTTTCCTAATAGATTGAGCCGTCTTTCTTGTATCAGGTGAGGTAGTTTGGTGGAGGTAATGCCCTTCTCGTAACAGGCGAGACAATTTCGTAGAGGTGGTGACGTGCGTGTTCTAAGGAGATCTCTTCACATGTTAATTGTGGACTGAATCTCTCACCATGGGCAGCTAATCGGACTCTCCCTCTCAAGATGACGCGATTGACTTGACCTAAATTGCTCCTTCCTGTGGTGAGCCTAACCTGCATTCTTAAATTGAGTCTTTGAGTTGGGCCTAGTCTATAATTCTGGGTCGGACCCATCACTACCTACCCTCCTTCGTCCTCTACAACTCTTAATCCAACCATCAGTTGCCACCATTTCAATTACCTGTCTACCATCCAAAATTCATTTTCCACCACCTTCACCGTAAGCCAACCAATCAGTTAGCCCTAATCATTAACAATAGTCATCTCTCCAATATCCTCCTCTATTACCTTCCACCTCCACCCATCATATGCCCAAACCCCCCCCCCCCCCCCCCCCC